GTGGGTGAGTGGGTGGATGAGGGAGTGGATGAGGGAGTGGGTGGATGAGGGAGTGGGTGGGTGAGTGGGTGGATGAGGGAGTGGATGAGGGAGTGTGTGGATGAGTGAGTGGATGAGGGAGTGTGTGGGTGAGTGAGTGGATGAGTGAGGGAGTGGATGAGGGAGTGGATGAGGGAGTGGATGAGGGAGTGGATGAGGGAGTGAGTGGGTGAGGGAGTGGATGAGTGAGTGGATGAGGGAGGGAGTGGATGAGGGAGTGGGTGGGTGAGTGAGTGGATGAGGGAGTGGATGAGGGAGTGAGTGGATGAGGGAGTGGATGAGGGAGTGGATGGGTGAGGGAGTGGATGAGGGAGTGAATGAGTGAGTGGATGAATGAGTGGATAAGTGAGTGAATGAATGGTCTTTCGGACCCCTCACCTCTGGGGAGAGAAGGCCTCCATCTGATTCTCCCCAAAATCCTAATGTGCGCCCATCACCTCCTCCCCAGGCCCAGGGCAGGTGTTGGCAGTGGTGCAGGGCCCAGGGAAAGGGGAGAGCAGTGGATACATAGGGCCAGTGCCCCTCAAACCCGGCGATGCAGAGGAGCTCCCCGAGGGCCCGCCTGTCCTTGAGCTGAAGGCCGCCGCTCTGGCAGCACTTGACCCCCAGGGCTCTCCCGACCTTCCCACTCCACTGTGGGTTGGGGTGGGGGGCAGATGCCACAAGCCCAGCCCCCAACCCCTCAGAGGCCAGTGGGGAAGACAGGGCTCGTTCCCTCAGCCGCTACGCACACTCACAGAAACCTCCCTCTGAGCAGGGCTGGACACCAGGACTCCCACCGCACTGAGGGGCGTCAGAGCCTGCCCAGGGCAGTCAGCATCCTGGAGGCCTGAGAGCCCAGCCCAGAGAAACGAGACCTGGGGTGGGGAAGGGCCTGGGCACCTGGAGTGCCCGGCACAGTGCCGGCACAGGAACCTGGGCAGCAGGATCCCCGCACAGGGCTCTTCCCCCGCCCACAGGTGGATGCCCACCCACGTCTCCGGCCCTTCTGCCAGAGCAGCTTGCATGAGATAAAAGGACTTTCCTGGCATGGTGGGGTAGAAGGGGGAGATGTGGGGTGCTGGGGATGGGTGGGAGCAGAGACCCGGCCGTGAGCCTCCCAACCCCACCAGAGGCCATGGCATCAGCCACAGACCCACACGAACGTGGCAAGACGTCCTTTAACCAAGGTCGCGCGTCTCAGCAGATGAGGCATCGGTAGCGGGGAAGACAGGCCCTGCTGCCGTCAATAAAGCGCTGTGGCTACAGAGGGCCTACGGGGACAAAGAGGGCCTACGCGGGGACAAAGAGGGCCGCGCCCGCCCTGCACACATCCTCACCTCCTGAGAGCCTGTGGAGGCCACCCCTGCGGCCCCGGTCCTTGCCACTCAGGCCTCCTGGAGGTCAAGGGACAGACTGCCCCATGCCCAGGGGCAGAGAGGAGGGCTGGTGGCCCTATGGCCAGGCAAGGCCTGCTGGCTTGGCCCCTGTGCCCCCAGGAGGGGCATGGCCCTGTTTCACAGGGAACTTTTAGTGCCAGAGCCAAAGGGTATAGTCTGGGGCCTCAGAGCTGGAGGTGGCACAGCTGGGGCGGCTGGGACGTGTCTGGGAGGGAGGGGGCTTCTCCCAGTGCACAAGGAGGGCTCTGGGGCTCTGCACTGGGGTGACCACAGCTGGTGAGTGACAGGCCTGGCCTGACCACACAGCAATGCTCCCTTCTCCACTCTCCTCTGCTCCAAGGGCCCCAGCAGGGTGGGCCAGGGCCAGGGCTCAGCACGGAAGGGTAAGGATACAGGGTGTGGCTGGGGGTGACAGTGTGGTCTCCTCAGACACAGGGAAAGGACAGGGCCAGCAGGGCTTCTCGAAGCCTCCCACGCATGCCCCCACCCCGTGGCACCAAGCTGACTGCAGCCAGGAGCACCAAACCCGCCCGTGACTCCGGGACCAGCCAGCCCTCCCTTCCCAGACAATAGGTAAAAAGCCCAGGACAAGCCTTTGACAGGGTGCTGGCAGCCAGCACCCCGGCCCCAGCTGGCTCAGGGAGAGTGGGGATGCGCATTGCCAAGCCACGCCTCTCCCCAAAGGCCTCAGCAGCTACGCCCTGGGCAAAGCCTGGGCTTTCTCAACACCAGGTGCCGGAACCAGCCCAGCAGCCTGGCATCAGGTTCCCACACCCACCTGCATGTGGGAAATACTCTGGGCGGTGGGGGCTGGGGCCGGGGCAGCCTCCCGTCCAGCCCAGCCTTCATGCTGTGCCCAGGAGCTGCTCTGCCACCCCAGGCCTGAGGCCGGTGTGACTTGAGCCTCGCAGGCTACCCAGGCTTGGCACCAGTGCTGGCAGAGTCCCTGGAACCCAGAGCATGGGCCTTTGTGCCCTATGGGCAGGGCCCACCCACCAGCAGAAACTTCACTCTGGGCCCCAGATAAGGTGTGAGTCAGGCACCCTGGGGGAGCCAGGACCACAGCGCAGCCACCCACACCTCCAGCTGCTGCTTTCCCCTGGGCTGGAGGGGCCACATACCTTCATCCAGCATGGGCAAGTAAGCAAGCACCCCACCAGCACCAGCTCACAAGCCACCTCCTCCAAGAAGCCTTGTGGGCTGCCCTGGCCCTCAGTGAACAAGTGGGCCCTGGCCCAGGCCCCTGAGACCCGGCGCTGTGACGCGTCCGACACGCTGATGTGTACTGGCCTCACACTCCCTAGAAGGTGCCGGAGCCAGCAGCAGGAAGAAGGCACCGGGTGAGAGCCGGGACAGGAGTCAGCCCGCAGGCCTGCGTCGGAGCCTCCCTATGGGAGCCTGCCTCTCTCTGCCTCAGTTTCTCGCCTGTAGAGCCAGGCATTTTCCTCTGTCCTGTCCTGCTGAGGGGCCCAGGGGCAACACGCAAGTCTGCCACGGAGCCAGATCTGACGCACAGCTTGTCTTGAGAACCAGATGCTGGGTGCTTGTCCACAGGCCAGGGCAGAACCAAGGCAGGCCAAGTTCTAGCCAGGCACGGTGCCCTTTAATTCTGCCGAGTCACAGCCACCAGCTCCCTGCAGCAGCCCTTCCCTGGCACCGGCCCTGGGCAGGCACCTGGCCCTGTTCTCTCCGGGCTTACTTGTGACATCAGCACCCACAGTGGCCAGAGGTGGCAGGTTCGGGGAGCAGAAGGCCGCAAACCTCCGAGCGTCCACCTTGGTTGTCCGGTTGCCCCGAAACAGCTGATTCTGGAAGAAGAGGCAGACCTGCAGGACAGGAGCCACGGTGCTCAGAGAGACCATCAGCCTGTCCCCAGCCCCCCGCCCTCAGCTTCCTCCCTGCCATCAACGGGGTGCTGAGACCCAGGGGGAGGCAGGACTGTAACCCCATCCATCGCAGACAGAGACTCTCCTAGGAGCAGGCACTGCCTGCCTGAGGCCCTTCCCTGCCCTGCCACCTAGCCCCGGGCCAACCGGAGCCTGCAGGGGCCTGGGGTGTGCAGTGGCTGGGCGGCAGGTGGGGCACCGTCCTTCCCTCCCTTCCCGCCTGCCCACTGCCCTCACCCCTGCTCCTTAGGGAGCCCAGGACCTCGTCCCAAAAGTGCAGCGGGCACGGCTAATCTGGAGGCCCCGCCCATGGCGAATGGGAGTCCCCCAGACCCCTGCTCGGTGTCGGGCTCTAGTCAAGCTGCTCAAGGGCCTTGGGTAAAGCCCCCACCCCAGGGTGGGGAGATCTCCGTACACGTCTTCCTGGGACACCACATGGAACAGGGAAAGGCATGCAAGGGGGAAAATGGTGCCCTTCAAAGCCATGCTGGCTGCCTAATTTTCTGGAAACTTACATACATATCTCTAACGTAAATATCCCTGATATCAGACCTAGAAGACAGTGCACCCAGCTCTTGGCAGTGGCGTGTGGGGAAGGGCTGGGGGACTTTGTTTCCCGGCTGTTCTCCGGAACCCGCCCCTGCCCCGCCTCCACATGCACCAGGGCGGGTACCTATGGAATCACATACTGGCCGGCCATGAGCAGTGCGCCCAGCAGGTTCTCACGGCCATCGCTCCACAGGGCGTGGATGGGCACCTGGGGGAGAGGCCGGGGAGGAAGCCCAGGATGCCCAGCTCTTCTCTCCAGGAAGACGCCCAGGCCCAGCCCAGGAGCCCCGGGCAGGGCGTTGGGGAGAGAAGGACAGGCTTGGACTTCGGTGCAGCCTGGGGATGGGAGTACTGGGGACGGGGCGCTCAGCGCAGCCGGGCAGTAAGCCCGTGCCAAGGTCGCCAGCCACAGCTGTCCCTGAGGACGATGGCAGCCTGCACCCAGGGCCTCAACCCACCTAACAGCTCCCTCTACAGGTCCCAGTGCCCAGTGCTGTCAGCAAGGGCCAGCAGGTCCCCATACTGGAGAACGCATCACAGGCCTCCCACCCCAGCTGCCCAGCCTGGCTACCTGTCCCTCGGGACAGATCACTCACTATCCCAGCAGAACTGTGGGCTGAGTAGAGGGTGATAGGGTGAGGGGTGGGTGGGCTGGGATGGGGAGGAACTGCTGGGGGTGCCAGGCACAGTGCCCCTCCCACAGCTGCCTGTGTCTGGCACGGGCAAGCATGCCTTGTGGTTGACTAAGGAGCGCATCCCAGGAGGGCACAGGTGGGCAGGACTGCCTCGGGGGGGGGAGGGAGCGTGTCTCTTCATGGGTCCTCAGGGGTAGGTGGCCGGGCAGTGGGCAGTGCAGGGCCTCTGGAGGGAGAGAGCCCTGGCCGGGGGTGGCAGTCCTGGGCCCTGGGTCCTCCCTGGCTCAGCTCTCACGTGGCTCATGGCTGTGGGTGAGCCCCTGGCCTATGAGCCTCAGTTTCCCCAACACAGGCCAACATCAGGGTTAGGAAAACAAGTGTGTGAATGTTCCTGGGGCCAATGTGCCCTTGGTCCCCATGGAAAGGCCCAGGGGATGTTCCGCTCTCCCGGGGCTAGGGAAGGTCTGGGAAGAGGAGAAGCAGCCTGAGCCCTGTCCCTCCTTCATGGGCTCCGGGGCAGGAGGCACTGCTCCGACGCTAACAGGTGTGAGCAGCTGGCCCCAGGAGACCCTGGAGGGAAGAGGGAGACGTCGACGGACAAGCAGAAAGGGGGTGACTGAGCCACCTCCCTCGATGTACCTGGCCGACCTCCTAGGAGGGCCTCCATGGAGCTTTCTGGAGCTGCCACCAAGCTCAAAGGGACACGGGTACTGGTTCCCCACAGGAGATCTTGGCCTCAGCTGTGGGAAAGGATCCCAGAGGGCCCAGGTGCCCCTTGCCACCCACAGGCAGCAGGGACCCCAGTCAGCTCCCAGCAGACCTCCCTGCCCCCTGCCCACAAATCCAGTTTACAGAACACTATGCCACTGGCCATGGCTTGTGGGATTTGTGCAGGGTGAGGGTGAGAAAGGCGGGAAAATCGTGTGCCAGGGGCCCCAGGATGGCATTGCCTGGAACCACAGTGGGCGGAGAAAAGAGCGGGACCAAGGCAGGGTGACCAAAGAGGCCAGAGAGAGGGGCCACGGCTCCTCTGTGTTTGGCCACCCTGCTGCATGGACATTGAGGTGGGCAGCAGCTTCGAGGAGAGGAAGGGATGCCTGGTGCCCCCCGGGCGGAGGTGGGCCTGGCTCTGGGTGCTTTGGGACCTCACAGCTCCCAGAGAACTCCACCCCTGGGGCAGGTGGCGCCGGCATCTGGGTGAGACCTGAGCAGCCGAGAGCCCCGGCACCGGCCCTGCAGCAGCGACCTCAGGAGCTGCTGGGCTGAGCAGGAAGCTCAGGGTCCCGCAGCACCAACCTGCCCTGTGGCCTCAGGAAGCCCCGATTCCTAGGAGCCCTGGGTCCCTGGGGTTACCTGGGCCACGGTGAGGATGACGGTCTTCTGCAGGTTCTCCAGCATGAAAGACAGCACGGATGTCCGTGCCGTGGATGACCACGAAGCCGTGGTACTGCTCATAGTGCCTCTGCAGAAGGGGTGAGCTCAGGCAGGCTGGCCCCTCAGGGAGTGGGTGTGGGGGAGGGTGCAGCAGCGGGAGAGGGCCCAGAGGCGGAGGGGGGACGGGGGGAGATGCGCATGGCACGCCGGCCCAGAAGGCCCTCTCTGGAAGGTGAGCCCCTGGCGCAGGGTCCTCGGACCCCCACGCTCTCCCTGCCCCGAGGCTTCTGTGCCACTCAGGTGCGCCCACCACGTTGGGGCTCCCCTCAAAGCACACAAGAATGGGTCCCTCCGAGGGGCCTCTGCGCATTCCTCAAGGGTGGGAGCGCCTGTCGATGGCAGCACGGGGCTGTGGAGGTACATGAGCCGCGCAGCCCAGAGCACAGGTCAGGCAAGGACACGACGGTAGGAACAGGGACCCCTGCAGGGTCAAGTCACCGCCATGGCCAGGAGGCAGCAGGTTATCCAGCAGGTTGCCTGAATCTGGACCTGGGCAGGTGGGCAGGACACTGAAGGGCAGCAGTGAGGCTGGCCAGGAAGGGACGTCCTCTGGCACCACCCCCCGGAGGGTGGCTAGCCCAGGCAGTGGCTGCCAGGCCACCGTTCCAAGAGCCCAGAGCCCCATACCAAGCCTGGGCCTCCAGGTGGGCCATTAAAAGACCAAGCTTGGTAGGCCTGGGAACTGCAGAGGCGCTGAGGTGGAGAAGGGGAAGGGCACCCTCTGCTGGCCACTCATGGAAAGACGGCAGGCTGCGCCACCTGCGCTGAGGCCTTTGTGAGGCTGGGCAGGGCCCGTCCCTGCAGCAAGGATGGCAGGGCACCCTCGGTGGGCCTCGAATGCAGTCAGGCCTGGCCTGTGGGGGCTGCCAGCCACAAATGGAGCAGCCTGTCCTGGGTGGTGCTGCCCCCTACCCCACTGCTGGGCAGGGGGAGCCCAGATGTTCCCACTCAGGGGAGCAGCGGGTTTGTAAGGGAAGCAGGTGAGAATTGGGACTGGAGGGACAGGAGGCTCCCACCCAGTGGAGGCAGCTCAGGTAACACGGCAGCGTCCTATGATGGCAGAGAATGGAGGAGGGAAGCTGATGAGGGGGCGGTTCTGCCTGCAGGGGAGGAAGCAGTTCTGCCTGCAGGGTGAGCACACGCGTCGCTATAAACCACAAGACTGCTGTGGTCCTAAACCCACCAAGGCCCCAACTGGGGAGGGGACAGATGGAGGGCAGTGAGCAGGTCACCAGCCAGGTGCCAGGAGCTTGTCTGCCCTAGAGGTAGCATTGCACACCACACCCCAGGTACTAACAGGGACAGGCTAAGACAGCTGTTCCCACTGTGTCCTCGCCTGCAAGTCGCCCTATACGCCCATCCACAGCTTGCATGGGGGAGAGGGCCTCAGAGCCTTGCCCCCAGCTCTGACAAGTGGACCCTGCCCTTTCCTGAAGCCGCCATTTCCAGATGCTCCCAGATCCCAGGCTGGGCACGCCGACTCCACCCCAGACCCTCCAGCTCCTCACCTGTCCCAGAGTGTTTCTGCAGGCCACTGCCCATCCGCCAGCCCCGCCCATACCCGCAGCCCCACCCACACGCCACAGCCCCACCCACACAACCACCCCACCCACGCAACACGGCCACACCCACTCCACAGCCCCGCCCACATCCCACAGCCTCACCCACTCTCCACAGTGCCGCCCACACCGCAGAGCCCCACCCAGCACTCCCCAGCCCCACTACCTCGATGGTCTGGGCAACGCGAACCCACTCAGCGATGGTCATGTCACTGGAGTCGAAGAGGGGCTGGCACTCCAGCACGGTGTAGAGGATCCTCTGGTTGGGGCTGGCCGGGCTGCGGGGACGGCAGCAGTAGGAGGATCAGCAGGCTCCAGCTCTGCACCTCCTCCTGCTCTAAATCCCCCGACCGCTCTGTCCCCTCTGGCTAGCTGGGGCCTCTACACCAAGGGCTCTGCACACAGCAAGTTCTCAGCATCGCAGCTACAGGGCCCAGCCTCCACTCCCAGCTGGAGCCCCCCCACCTGGAGCCCTTCCCCACCTGGAGCCCCCCTCCCACCTAGAGCCCCCTCCCACCTGGCGCCCCCTCCCACCTGGCGCCCCCCTCCCACCTGGCGCCCCCCTCCCACCTGGCGCCCCCCTCCCACCTGGCGCCCCCCTCCCACCTGGCGCGCCCCACAGGGGCGAGGACTTTGGCCAGGATAGGGCGCTCCCAGCATTCCTCTTCCGACACTCGGAGAGGCAGCTGGGACCAGCCCCCGCCCAGGCAGGAGAGGATGCTTGGAGGAAGCTGGCCTGCGTTGGCACAAGGGCGACTGCCAGTTCACCCCAGCTGTGTGTGGATCAGTTCAGGGAGCTAGGCCCAGAGCTGAGAAATGGAGGGACCTCCCTGCTGAGGGCAAGGCTGCCTGGGACAGCCGGCTCCTGAGATACAGGGTCCCTAGACAGGGACACCCCATCACACTTGCCGAGCCAGCCTGGCTGGGGGTGTTGGGACCAGGCACAGGGGCACCCACAGGCCCTGCCCTCCTCCCAGAGCTCTTCGAGGCTCAGACGCTGGTGGAAGGCGGCTGCTGGTCAGTCCTAAAGCCCCCTAAGGTGCGGGGCTGTCGGAGATGGGGGTGAGCAAATGGCTCACGTGGGCCTGGCCAGCGCCCCCCAGCAGCCATGCCCTGCCCGGGCCTGGGAGGATCCCACACTCACGGCAGCACCAGGGTGTCCTCAGGGAGGCCGAGGGCTCGGGCGTGCTCCTCATCATGGAACATGGGCAGCGTCCTCAGGGTGGCAGCCAGGCCCGTCCCAGGCACGAGCACTGCAGGCAGAGTCCAGGTGCAGAGTGGGGTCAGGGGCCGGCAGCCATGGCCTCCTCACTGAGGGGCAGGACTGGAGCTTATGGAATGGGGCTCCAGCCCCATGAAAGTCAGAGACTGGGAGGAAGGGCCACGCCTGCCCTGGGACCCAGAGTGGGGGCCGCTAACCCCTGTTTAGAAGCCTTGGAGCCCAGGGTCATTCCTCATTTCGCACCCGGACAGCCCCAGGAGCTCTGCCCAGGTCTCCAGTGGCTCCACCCAGGCCCTGCCCCTGCCCCCACCCCTTCTCCAAATGCTCAGTCTGCACTCCCCATGAAGATCCCCGGGGCTCGGCCTTGACCTCACTGTGGATGTGCTGCGGGATCATCCCCACTTCTCACACAGAAGGTGCCTCAAGGCCCAGATTAGGGCACCGCCACCAGGAAGCCCTCCCAGATGCCCAGGCTGTAGTACTGTTCCCACGTGCTCCCTCACTGGCCCTCAAGCTCCCAGAGGGCACGGGCTGTGTGTGACTCCCCTGGGTCCAGCCCAGGCCCCTCCCCCAGATCCCAGACCTGGAGGGGCTAGCATACCGCAAGTGCACAGACAGGTTGGCCCCACCCCGGCAGCTGTGCCACCTTCCCGCAGCCTCTGCATCTCAGTTCTGTCCCCTAAATGGACACCTGGCCACACCACTCACTCCCTTGAGCCAGCCACTCAGTACAAAGCCCTGAGCCCTCAGCCACCCCTCCAGGGCCTCCAGCCAGCCCCAAAGCCCCCTCCTGGCCCTCCCTTCCCTCCCCCAGCAGCAACGCCCCATCCTGTCCTGCAGCCCCAGCCAGGGGCACCTGCTTTCCCCCCTCGCCCTCTGCAACCATAGCCATCTCCTGCCACTAGTTCGCAAATTAACCCCAAAATTGGGTGTTAAAGCAGCCCCCTCTAATATCCCTCCAGCTGTGCCCCTCCCCGCTGTTCCCCTCCACCGCTGGGCTCAGCCGGGTCTCCACATCTCCAACTGCTAAGTTGCTGGCCCCAGAACACCAGCCCATTGGCCCTGTGGAGGTTTGCGGCACCCATGGTCTCCCCTGGCCTTGCACGATAGCCCCATGGGCCCCCCGGGACATTTCCAGAGGAGTGGACGATGCAGGTCAGCTGAGGTGCAGCCGTTGACAAAATCATCCCCGCCAGCAGGCTCAGCCAGTGGACAGGGGAGCCCACGTGTGTCTATCTGCCCGTCTACCCTCTGAGGCGCCAAGTGCACAGCCGGGACACAGGCTGCCGAAACACAGGCCTGGACTTGCCGCCTGGTGAACCCCAAGGGCCCAACCTCAGACCCCAAGCATCCGGGGGCTCAGCACCCACCCCACATGCGTACAGGTGTCCCTGTCTCATGTGTGGTGGGCTGGAAAAAGACCCCAGAAGACGTCCACATCCCAGAGCCGGGCACAATGCCTCGCGCCTGGAATCCCAACACTTTGGGAGGCCGAGGTGGGCAGATTGCTTGAGGTCAGGAATTCAAGACCAGCCTGGCCAACATGTTGAAACCGTCTTTACGAAAAACACAAAAAGTAGCTGGGTGTGGCGGCGGGCGCCTCTAGTCCCAGGTACTCGGGAGGCTGAGGCGGGAGAATCGCTTGAACCTGGCAGGCGGAGGCTGCAGTGAGCCAAGATCACACCACTGCACTCCAGCCTGGGTGACAGAGTGAGACTCTGTCTCAAAAAAATTAAATAAATACATAAAAATAAAAAAGATGTCCACGTCCCAATCCTCTGCACTTGTGGTGTCAACTCATATGGAAGTGTCTTTGTGGATGTGATGATGTTAGGGGCCGTGAGGCGGAAGTTGGCCCTGAACTGTCCAGGTGGGACCTAAATGCCTCTCACGTTTCCTTACAGGAGGGAGGCCACAAGGCACTGGCAGGCGGGCCACACAGAGGAGAAGGCCATGTGACAACGGGGCAGAGCGGCCCTTAGAGATGCTGGTCTGGATGACTACAGGGATGCAGCCACAAGCCAAGGAGTGCGGCAGCCACCACGCAGCAGAGGTGGCAGGGTGGTTCCTCCCACAGAGCCTCGAGAGGGATTGGAGCCCTGTGGCACCTTGGCTCAGCCTGGGAAAACCCCTCTCAGTCCCCGGCCTCCGGCGGTGCTCAACCGCCGGCACAGTGGCCGCAGGAAACGAAATGTCACTCTCCATCCTCTGGCAGGTGAAGCTGCAGTGTCTGTGGAAGTCTGTGGACCTGCTTGTGGGAAGGTGGAGAGGGCACATGTGGTCTGGTCTTGGCCACGCTCACGTTGTGCAAGGTGGCTCGTGGGGCAGTGGCTTCCGGGAACTTCCAGGAACACTGCAGAGTGGTGACGTGGCCAGGCCGGAGGAGGACGTGGGCCCTGCTTTCCCTGCCAGGGGAGGGAAATTGGCCAAAGAAAGACTAAACTCCCTCAGCGTCCTCTTCTCTCTGAGCAAAACTCTACACATGAGCTTTTGCAGGGGTTGTTTTGGCTCATGCCTGTAATCCCAGAATTCTGGGAGGCTGACGCAGGACGATCATTTGATCCCAGGAGCTCTGGGCAATTTCTTTTTTTTCCTTTTTTTGTTTTTGAGATAGTCTCACTCTGTTGCCTCCAACCCCAGGGCTCAAGCAATTCTCGGTTCTCCTGCCTCAGCCTCCCGAGTAGCTGGGATTATAGGCATGTGCCACCACACCTGGCTAATTTTGTATTTTTAGTAGGGACGAGGTTTCACCCTGTTGGCCAGGCTGGTCTCAAACTCCTGACCTCAAGTGATCTGCCCACCTTGGCTTCCCAAATTGTTGGAATTACAGGTATGAGCCATCGTGCCCGGCCAAATTCAAACCTATACTGTCGCCAGTAAATTTTTCTTGCCAAGCTGCGAGTGGACCACGTTCTGAGGCTGGGGCTCCGACCCCTCCCCCAGCAGTCAGTTGTGAGCGTCAGCAGGCATTCCAGCAGGTGTGTAGGGCACCAATTTGTTTTGTTTGTTTGAGACAGGTTCTCGCTCTGTCACCTAGGCTTGAGTGCAGTGGCACTATCTCGGCTCACTGCAATCTCCGCCTCCCAGGTTCAAAGCAATTCTCCTGCCTCAGCCTCCCCAGTAGCTGGGACCACAGGTGCCCGCCACCACATTTGGCTATTTTTTTTTTTTTTTTTGTATTTTTAGTAGAGACAGTGTTTCACCATGTTGTCCATGGCTGGTCTAGAACTCCTGACCTCAGGTGACCCGCCCATCTTGGCCTCCCAAAGTGCTGGGATTACAGGAGTGAGCCATCGTGCCTGGTCAGCCAGGGCAATTTCTTTTATTGTTTTAAACAAACACCGGCTCTCACATCTAACTCTGATTTTGTAACTTGTATTACTTTCTCAGTGAGGGCCCTCCAAAAGCTTCAAGAGCCCAGAACCTGAACCGTCTGGCCCCTGCCTGGGACCTCTTCCCCAGCCCAGCCAGGCAGGTGCTTTAGTTCACTGGTGACCCAGAAACTCCTAGGCCCTCAGCCAAGCACCTGGAAGGGAGGCTTTGCTGACTAGGACAGTGGGTGCCGTGAAGCCAAGCTTAGGCATAGAGCCTGTGAACATGTAGCACCCATTCGGGAAGGAGGGCCAGGCCAAGAGCACAGAGGCCACTGCAGTGACCGAGAAGCCACGGGCGTCACTCCATCGGCTGCTGGCACCCTTGTGGCCAGTGGGCAGGGAGCTGCTCTTAGCTGCCTGGCCCCAAAGCTCTGCCCTCCCTGCTGTGCCTGCCAGGAGCCAGGCTCAGGAGGGACTCGGGCAGGCTGGCAAGCAGGTGGGGCTCCCAGCTTGCACAGGAAGCCTTCAAAAGTCTCAGCTGTGCAGAACGTGGCCACTAATGCCAGCCTCGGCTTGGGGTTATCAGCTCTTTTTGGATTCACTATGCCCTTTGACCTGTGAAACCTCTGATGAACTCAGAGAAGGGGTGGGTCTAGGGCTGTGCCCGCTGGCATCGCCTCTGCCCTCCCTGAACTCTGGCAGGGCCCCAGGTGTGCAGCATTCCACCCACAGGCCACTGCTGACCAGCAGGCGCAGAAGCCATTCCAACAGCAACCAAGCAGCTTTACTGTGGCAAACCCAGCACTCCCCTCGCACCTCCCCGGGAAGGCCAGAGCCCACGTCAGCAGTGCGGAGGGAATAAATCACTGATGTCTGGCGGGGCTGGACCTCAGCATTCACGGGGGCGTGGAGGGGCCTGGCTCCCTCCCTGGCCTGTGAGTGCTGCCCTCCCTCCTGGAAGCCTCATCACTTCCCACACCATGAGGCTCTGCACATCCCAGAAGGACGCCTGGCTGCCGTCACACAGCAAAGCTGACACGAGGGCCCCTGGTCTCCCACAGCCTCGGCCCCTGGCTTCCCCGCTGCTCCATGGCTGTGGGTGGCCCCCTCATCAGGGAGACAGTGGAGACCAGATCTCCTGTCTCTTCCCCTTTCATCCTCTGGGCTGAACCCATGTGCTCCCTAGAAGCCTTTCTGAAGTGGAGAGGGTGAGCAGTGAGGATGCCAGCCATGGGGGCACAGGAGGGCCTGGGGCTGACAGCAGCTTCCTCCCGGAAGCCCGCAGTGTGGAGCCAGGAGATGCTGCCTCCTCCTGTGATAAGAGACCCTCGCCTCCACAGGGGTTCTTGACGCGAGCCCTCACTGGCTGGGACAGGCTGGCTACTCAGAGCTCACGAGAGCTTGGGAGGGGCCCGTTCCTGCAGGTTCCTGGAAGCGGACGCCCCACATGGGTCAGCTAGCAACTGCTGGGAGTGACCTCGGAACCACACGAGGACAGGCTGCTGAACACAGGCCAGGGCCTGCTGGCCTCCCCCTCTGTCCGGAGCCTGGCGACCCAGTGCACGGAGCACCGAGGGCTCTCAGGAGGCTGCGTCAGGCCTGAAGACTGGTACCCACACCCAGTTTCCAACATCGAAGCCTCTCGTTCCCCACCCAGACACGGGACCTCACAGGCAGAAACACATTGCACACGTGAGTGTGCCCACAGGCTGCTCCGGCACAACGGGTGTGGGGGGGTTGCAGTCAGAGTCCGCCTGTCCCTGCAGCTCCAGCCACTCAAGACCTTTGTGTTGAGCTCAACGAAACTGCAGGTGGCCACACACCAAGCCTGGTGGGGTAGTGTCAGGGTGTCAGACGAGGCCCGGAGTCCAAGGATCTAGTCCCCACCTGGAGGCAGCTCTGGCCGGCTCCAGCCCGCTGGGCTCCCCCGCTCTCTCCTGGCCCTCTCCCACCTTTGTCCTGCAGGCCTTGTGTCCTCAGAGAAGCCCTCCCTGGGCCACCCCAAAACTCCACGCCACCCACACGCTGGGCCCTGGCAAATCCCGCCCCCTGGACTAGCTCCTTAATGCATGCCAACCCTTTGATGGCAGCCTCTGTCACTGGCTTACGAGGGCCAAGCACAGGAACCGTGTCACTCTGTCAGTGGAGTGTCACACAGGAGCATTTGCCAAGCTGTGAAGGACTTTGTCCCAGTCACAGGCAGAGGGAGAGGGCAGAACAGGCTCCCGGTAGCCGGACAGCCACGTTCCTGGTGCCTGTGCCCCTCGTAGGCAAGCCCTGCTGGGCTTTGTCTCCTGGGCTGGGCACAGAGTGGGCCTCCCCAGGGGTCTGCACCATCCACAGTGCGGCGGGTGGAATCTGAGAGCACTGAGAGGGTACTGGCGGCTTCTGAGCGGCCACTTCAGCATGAAGGGGTGGCCGGGAGGGGCAGCTGCCGGGGAACAGGTCGTGAGAATGGATAGGGAAAGGAGGGGCCGGGAAGTGGTTGGCAGACTGGCAAGGGACAAGAGAATGTTCTGGTCCTGCCAGGGGAGGCCCTGGGGCTCTGGCAGAGCCAGAGAGGGTCCCAGCTGCCTCGGCAGTGAGAACTGTGGTGGGCACAAGCAGGGGTGTGGGGAGAGGGGCCAGCCGGGGCAGCAGGGAGTGGGAGGAGGAGTTGAAAGGGCTCCTGAGGGAAAGGCAGCCAGTGGAGGTGGAGGGTTGCAAAGAGGTTGGACATGGGCGGAGGGGGCTGTCCTGGCCCCGAGGAGGGAGCGCACCACATCACAGCAGCGCCCGCGTGGGGGCCCCAGGCTCCTCCTGGGAGCGCCTGGGCATTCTGGGGGCTCCAGTGCAACCGTCCTCTCCCCATTCTGGTGGCCTCAGGTTCCTCAAGCTACCATCCTTCCTGTGCCCAGCCCAGGCTGGCAGCAGTGTGTGGAGTCCCCTGGAGCTCCGCTCGGTGCCTGTCCCAAGCACTGACCCCACCCAGGCAGAACTCAGCCCAGGTGCAATCGCTGGTCTCTGATCAACCAGGTCCAAGCCCGGGCAGAGGAAGCAGGCTCTGAGGCCACCTTGGGTGTGAACGTGTGGGTCCCCGCAGGTGCCAGGCACTATTGAAGTACCAGAACCCCAGGGGATGGGGACAGCCTGCCGGGTGTCGCTGGGGAGGGGTCCTCGCAGCCTCCTAAGCCTTCCGGGCTTGTGTGTCCGGGGCAGGGGAAGCAGGCGATGCCCTGGGGCCTTCTCGCCCCATATTCCAGGGCTCCAGGGCGCTGGCCCTGAGGGGCGCAGCGCAGCACAGGGGGCCTGGCCCCAGGGTCGCAAGGCGCTGCCGAGAGCACCGCCACGCGAGGACGGGCCGCGACCTCCTCTCTCCAGGTGGCGGCTCCAAACGCCGGGACGGCTGCGGCCCTGGAAAGGCCGGACGGAAGGAGAGGTACCCCAGCCCGCACCCCCACCCCCGCCACATCCATCCAGGTGCGGATCTGACCCCCCCACGGCCCCCTTGGGTGCAGGACGGCCCAAGGCTCCCGCCCCCGCCTGGGGCACCGGGTCGGACTCACCGCCCAGCTCGCTCCGCATGCCGATGGTGCCGCCGGTGTAGACGGCCAGCAGCCTCCGCTCGGGCCCCACCGCGCGCGCCATGCCGCCCGGGGACCGCGGGTGTGGACGGGGGTGCGGCGGGTTCGCGGGGCCTGCGGGACTCAGGGACGGCGGGGAGGCGGCCCGGGGCGCGGAGGGCACCCTGGGAGGGCGGGGCCGGCGGGGGCAGGACCTGGGCGGGGCGGGTCCCGGGAACTGACCGGGGTCGGGGAGAGGCGGGCCCGGCGGGATCGGGGCCAACGGGACGCCTGCCCATCCCGGGCTTTCTCTCAGCACCGGGAATGTCAGGTCTGCCCTCAGCAACGGCGGTTTTGTAGCTTTAATAACTTTAGCAGTTTTCATAAACCACCTCAGTAAATAATTAAAATAAATGTAATGAAATCAATACTCCTAAACAAACATCGTAATTTTGAATCTAAAGTTAAACAACAGATATCTCATTATTTGGATATTTTCCCAAAAATCAAAAAGGTATTTTAATTTTTTTTTTTTTTTTTTTTTTTGAGACAGAGTCCTGCTCTGTTGCCAGGCGGGAGTGCAGTGGCCCAGTCTCGGCTCACTGCAACCTCCTGCCTCAACCTCCGGAGTAGCTGGGATTACAGGCACCTGCCACCAGGCCCAGCTAATTTTTGTATTTTTAATAGAGATGGGTTTCACCATGTTGGCCAGATGCTCCGTGTTGCAAAGAAAAGTCAGCACTGAGACAAAGGATCTCTCAGCAAGGCAATTTTACTTTCTGCAGAAAGGGTGCTCCTGTTAGCTATCCTCCTAGGAGAGCACAAGGAACAAAGGAAAGCAGACACCTATACCTTTCATGTATTCGGGGGTCGTCCTTACTGCCTTGTCTGATCTCCTAGACCTCACAATCTAAACTAAAACCCGATTGGCTAATAACTTAAAACTTTTCTAAACAGGTAAAAGCAATGGAGAACAAAAAGGAAGTCTAGATAAAGAAGGAGCACAGGCTGCGAGCTGGGACACGCCCATGAGCACGTCCAGCAGGGGTATCTTGGATAAAGTACAAGAACAAGGAACATCTCACGTGCCTGTAAGCACATCTAACAGCTATGTAGGAAAGGGCTTAAGGAGAACTACTAAAAGCGAGACAGCTTTAACAAAGTGTTTAAAACAAACTAGTATTTCTAACACTTACAACTATTCTTTAACGAGAAAGGAAACTTTGAAGAGGAACATTTCTACTTCCCACAGTCTCGATCTCTTGACTTCGTGATCCACCTGCCTCAGCCTCCCCAAGTGCTAGGATTGCAGGTGTGGGCCACCGTGACTGGCCAAAAAAAATTTTTTTATAGAAGAAAGAATCTTGTATGATAAATTCTTGTCCTAAAGCAAATTAACTTGTTTAAAAAGAGGGATGTTTAGGACAAATCAGAAACTTGAGGCATGTCAGAGATTGTATAAGTCATGAAATAATTTATGAAAGGGAATTTATGCAAGAAATGTTGTACAATTGAAGGTGATGAGGCCTCCTAAATGCTTCATAAAAAGCCACTGTAACTCTTAGCTGCTAGGGAAGGCCCAGGACACATGGAGTTAAATGCTGGAATAGGCCAGACGTTACCTGCCCTTCTGCCTAAGTCCCAGGCTCCAGGCTTTATGCCTAGTACGTCATTAAAGTCCTGAACTTACCAAGGTTTTCACCAAAAGCAAAAGTTGCTAAGAGTTAAAAGTATAACATGTATTTAGAACTACTGAAAAACATGCAAGGTGTGTAAGGAAAGTAAAATATATTTTTGGTAAAAAGATGAGGAGGAGGCATGAGAATGTGGATTTTTGCCTAGATTAAAAGGTTAAAGGATTGTTTTAAGTTGGATAAGATTAAAACGAAGGTTCAAGCAAGTTGTGAAAGGTTAATTGTAAAGGAAATTCCGTGTGTAAACATACTCGCTAAAGTTAAAGGAGTATTATCCAGTTTTTCTGTAAATTAAGCATTAAAATAAAAGCACAACAGGCTTCTCTTAGAACACTAACGTGCTCTTTAACAAAAATCGTATCAGTGTATAAAAGGTCTATGAAAATCTAACCTTATGGTCAAACATTAAAATTGGGTAAATGTATCTGTAAGGTCTTATTAAAAATTGGGGTTACCATGAATAGTACACTAATGTAAAGGTGAAATTTGGTTTATTTGCTATTAAAGTCATACAGAAAGCCTTGTCAAATATAAAATGGCATTTGGCTTTCTTTGAGCTATGTTTGCATAAATGTGTTACTGGTATGTGTTCCAAAGTTATGGGAGACTCCTATCATTCTGATATATCTGTGTCTACGTTATCAGTAATAATTATAACTGGTGTGTGAAAATTCCTGTGTGCTACAGAGGTAACACACATCCTTGTCAACTGTGTCTTTAACTATGGCTGCCCTAAAACTCTCTGTCATCCACAAACAATTGTCTTGTTTTTTCCTCTCCAGAAGGTGGCTTTATAATCAGCCGCAAAGCTCCAACAGGTGCTCTTGAATGCAGGTTTCTGCTAACTTTAGAGATTGTGACATCAGAATGGAGGAAAAACGTTCTGGACTCTTGAACTAAAACGTTCATTAATATCAAGCAGGTCAGGAATTAACTGCATGAACGGAACTAACAGGAGACTGGAGTGATCTTTTGAACTTTTCAAGTTTTTTTTTCTTTTTTTTTTTGAGACAGTGTTTCACTCTTGTTGCCCAGGCTGGAGTGCAGTGGTGTGATCTCAGCTCACTGCAACCTCCGCCTCCTGGGCTCAAGCAATTCTCCTGCCTCAGCCTCCCTAGTAGCTGGTATTGCAGGCATGCGCCACCACGCCCGGCTAAGTTTGTAATTTTAATAGAGACGGGATTTCTCCATGTTGGTCAGGCTGGTCTCAAACTCCTGACCTCAGGTGATCCACCTACCTCGGCCTCCCAAAGTGCTGGGGTTACAGAGGTGAGCCACTGCGCCCTGCCTACGTATTCTTAGGTTATGGCAATGTAACTTTCGCGTAAGTGCCATACACATCTGCTTCTTTTGTAACTGAACACAATTGGAGAAGCTGGTTATTTTCTCAGGGCTTTGACTGGAACGGCATGCTCTCTTCTGAGGAATCAGACTTGCCTTAGGAAGCCAATAAGGGCCTTGGAAACTGGTCTCCCACTCTGTGCACACAGTTCCTGGACAGGGTTCTGACCTGTGGGGAGTAAAGAATGTCGCTTTCTGACAGGCCAGGAACCCCAAGTTATCCTGGAACCTCAAGAGGAAAGGAATTCGCCCAACTTGTAGGTATTTAATGATAAAAATCCACAGCTGGGCATGGGCTTTAAAAAGGTCTTATCTCAGATTCCTTCTGAGGAACAAAGTTCCATCGAACTCAATTTAAAAGGCCTAGATAAGACACAATTATTCTTGACGCACTGTATACAGATAATTATGTGTAATAAAGCAAAGTATAATACACCAAGTATAATAAAGCAAAACCAGTCCTACCATGATTTGTCTTTTAATAAAAATGGGAAAACTGGAAAGAGAACAATTATGTTTCAAAAACTACAGTTACACTACTGTTAAATTCTAGTCTTGCCTGATGGTCTTCAGTTTTTATTATTTTCTACAGTTTGGATTAAATTCTAATTTTTCTGGCTACAAATCTCCAAAATAATGTTTTCAGTTTTTTTCCTTTTTCTTTTTCATTTTTCCCCATTTTTCCTAAGGAGAAATCACTGAATCCTAAGCTACGCTTTCTTAAAGGCCTGTGAACTGAAGACTAGACTAGATTAGAGGCGGCAGGCACTGCCTCTAATCCCCCGAAATAAAGAGTGCTACCAAGAACAAATCACCCTCTTCCACTCCTGCACTGGGTTCAGTGCCCCATAACAGTGACGCCCTCCCCCGCCCCCCCACCAAGCAGGAAGTAGCCAGAAAGGGCACGGCGCCCCTCGTCCTTTGATGACTATAGAATCTGGATTGACAGACAAGAGCATCACCATCTTGAACAAACACTGCCATTTCAAGTTCCCTTTGATTAAAAAACTGCCTAAAGGCAGCCCAAAACACATCAGCCTAATGGCTAAAGTCAACACGACCATAAACCACGAGTAACATCTGCAACCTGAAACATGCCAACCCCGAGATGACCTCCACCTTCCTAAACCCTTAAAGATCCTTAGTCTGTAAGAGAGATCGCTCTTGACCGAAATTGGCCAGAGGTCCCTCTCAGGTTCATTCTCCAAAATAAACCTGTCTTTGACTGTTGAGCCACTTTTCACGTTCCTTTCCTCCTTTTTTTTGAGACGGATTCTCATTCTGTCACCAGGCTGGAGTGCAGTGGTGCCATCTTGGCTCACTGGAACCTCCCCCTCCTGGGTTCAGGTGATTCTCCTGCCTCAGCCTCTCGGGTAGCTGGGACCACAGGTGTGCACCACCACACCCAGCTAATTTTTATATTTTTAATAGAGACGGGGTTTCACCATGTTGACAAGGCTGGTCTCAGTCTCTTGACCTCATGATCCACCTGCCTCGGCCTCCCAAAGTGCTGGGATTACAGGCGTGAGCCACCATGCCCGGCCATCTTTCCTCTTTCTTTAACTCTTACAGAGTCCCCCGTTTCACTCCCCTGAGAGCCCAGGAGGGCAGGGCAGTGGTGGGTACAGGGTCTCAGGAGGGTCCCAAGCTGCAGGCTTGATCCCAGGTGGAGAGAAGATCCGCCACCTCCTCACTTCCTGGGACCTTGACTGCCCAGGGCACTGATGCACTTCGGTGGGGGCCAGCATTTGACACTGATTCCATAGAAATATTATTATTTGAGATGGAGTCTTGCTCTGTTGTCTAGGCTGGAGTGCAATAGCACGATCTTGGTTCACTGCAACCTCCACCTCCCAATTCTCATCCCCCCAATTAGCTGGGATTACAGGTGCGTGCCACCACACGCAGCTAATTTTTTTTGTATTTTAGTAGAGACAGGGTTTCACCATGTTGGCCAGGCTGGTCTTGAACTCCTGACCTCAAGTGATCCACCTGCCTCTGCCTTCCTAAGGGCTGGGTGTGAGTCGCCGTGCCTGGTCACATAGAATTT